CACTCGCATTCACACACACACACACACACACACCTCTTTTGCTTGCCGAATTTCCTCTCCTCTTCTTTGGCCATATAAAAGACGACGCTGAAAGAAGACCAAATATTAAAATCCTAATTCCAACCAGCTCTCTTCGTCGTCATAGTGAGGTGTCCGTATTTATACGAGTTCTTGCCGTTACCGATGCGAGCGACAAGAAAGAATGGTACTCACCTTCACAGAGAGAGAGAGAGAAAGAGAGAGAGAGAGTGTTGAAAAATTAGACCTCTTCGCACTCATTTGGGCAGCCGTAAAAATTTCCTTCGTGCCAGGAAAACAAACTTAATCATCGCCAACAATATTATATTGCGTTTTATCTTATGAAATAAGCAAAGTTACGATATAAAAACGTTATTTGTAAACTTTTACTGAAACTTTATAATTAAACGGTATCTGTCTTTGTCATATTTTTTTGTTTGAAATTTCTTTCGATTTGTTTTGCCTGTTCATATTCTTTGGAGGATTGAAAAGTATAACTCTTGTGATTCTACGAGGAGCAAATAAATAAATTATTTGTTTGTTACCTATATATATATATATATAAGTATAAGATTGGTGTAGACAAAATAAATTCCTATGACCAAAATTATTATTCTTAAAAAGTGCTCAATACAGAGCAGAGCAAATATTATTTTATTTATTCAAAAATTATAACATAAACATCTTATAACATCACTACAAAAATAGCCATTTTGTTTTAACATTTCTGGTGTCTTATCAAGTGATGGTGTTCGATTCAACACCCAGAAAAGGCATGGCACGTGGAACAATCCACCCCGGTGGACGAAATAAAGGGTTCGATCGAAATTCCAACGTATATCACCTGAAGAAGGCCGGAGCGTATAACGACCGAAACGTGAATATGACAATAAAGATGAAGACAATAGTCGAACAATGTAAATAGTGTAAGCATTTAATTCAGTGATTAATATTAGTCGTAGAGAACAATATACAATGAAAATCTTAGATCAAAATTATACTATAAATCTGTCACACACACACACACACACACACACACACACACACACACACACACACACACACACATATATATATATATATATGACGGACTCTCCCATCGAGTTTGATGTATGAGGTTCCGACGACCACGAACTAATTATCTTCATGCATGACTTTTGAGACCGGCCCGAGAAATTGCACAAAAGACCACAAACAATACAGAAGAGGGTATTGTATCCAAGTACACCAGAAACACTGTTAGCTGTCTTATTTTGCTTTCTCGTTTCATGTAGTCGACTGATGGTTACTCCCCAGTGCAGCTATATCAATGTTGTACTTCTTTAGCTCCAATGTGACCACAGCTATTTTTATTTCTGGTGCTGACAAATGGATGTTTATCTAATATTTTGTTACGGAGTCTTTATCTGTAAAAATAATTGAAGAATATAACGTCATTTTTTCTATACAAGTTTCAAGTTCTCTACATAGACATATGATTTATTTTTGGAATGAGGATGATCCTGAAATTGAAAATCTGCCCTTCATCTTCTGCCTAAATAGGATTGGGTCTCCGATTCATTCTAAAGTATCTTTTAACGATAAATTTCTAATGTCACCGTCTAAACTACTAAACATTTATTTACTACGTATTTACATATTTTTTCTCACTAGGAGGGGATAAGTTCGCCTATCCACAGTCCGCCAAGGGTTTTTGAACAGGAGTAGATGTTTTTACAATAAGAAATTATCTACAAATAAGGAAACATTTATTTGTTAATAATTTATTAATATTTGTTTTTTAATAATTTCTTCTCATTAGAGAAAATGTCTTGAAATATTAATGAGACCTGTTCTTACCGAATCTTCCATGAGTGTTACCAAATTAATTCTTCTTTTATGTGCCGTATCCCTTCAAGACAAAGGCAACCAGCGCTAACCCCAACTTCCTATCCTATGTAACGAGTAGTAAAGTATGTCTTTTTACCATCAATCCCTATTCCCTGTTCTGTCAACTATTTGCACAAGCAGGTAGGTATCTCTTCCTGCATTCCCCTCTCCCTCTTGCCTTTAATATTTTGTGAGTTTCATATTCTCCCCCTTTTGGTTTCCATTTTCCTTAAAAGCTCCTCGTTACTCACATGTTGGTATTCTCAACATCCTTCTGTAGAGCCACATTTTTGTTGCTTTAATTCTATCATCTTTGAGGAAATTGTCCAGCATTCATTGCCATATGGAAAGGTCGATATTACATAACAGTTCAGCACTATTTTCTTGACCCTAGCGATTTTTTTTATATTTATATATTTAAAACTTTGCTTAGGTTTGGGAAGGCATCTTTCACTATTCAATGCGCCTTCCGATTACTGTGTCCCATTTTCTGTCCGTTAAAACAGCAAATAGTATAAGTATGAAAACTCAGTGAATACACATAATAATAATGAATTATGTATTATAATTATATTTTATAATTACTTTTTGAAAGACCACTATTGCTGTTTCCTTTATAAGACATTCGTTGCTATTCTTGAATTCAGGAACCGGATCTATTGAAATGGAAGAAAGTCTTAAATTAAGAATAGAGGAATTAGAAATTTCGTAGAAGGATTAAAAGTATCTCAACTGCGATGATTCTTCGGTCAAGACTGATAATAAGGAATGTGCCGGAGATTTGACGAAACTTGTTGTCACCCATTCTTTAGCGATGAGCTAAAGACATCTAGTGTGAATAAGAAAATGCATGAACTATAATAAAGAAAGACTCGTTTGAAAAATTAATTACCTGTAACAACTCGGAAAGATATTTGCAAAAAACTACCTTCACACGGCACAATAACACTAAGTGTTTTGCGTGGATACTTGGATAATGTATGTACAGATATCTGCTTAAAATGTTCACGCTTAGTTGACTGTTTCTCTCAGCGAAATATTTCTGACTTTGGAGATTCGTTTTAGGTGGAGTTATAAGTCTTATGGCATTTACGTAAGACCAAAAGTACTGACATTGTGTGGGTGGAGAAGAGGAATTTTTTTAACGATCTTTTGTCTGAACAGTCAGTCCTCACTTTTCTATGCCCACTCAAAAAGCAGATAAACGATTGCTTAAAAACTAGCGATTGAAACAAAAATCGGTTTGGCTGTGCAAAGCACGGATTTCATTTCATGCGAATCAAACAACTCAGCCTTTAAAAGACGTAAGAGAATAGAGAATTAAAGTGAATAAGGAAGCCGTAAAATTTTCTGTGATCAAGTTGTCTAAAAAATCCAAAGGTGTCGTGTGAAAGACAGACAATCAGACAGACAGAAAATGATAGGAGGAAGTATAGAAAGAGAAACGGAAGTAGAGAGATATATGGGACAAAGAGGTAGGCAGGGAAAGAAAGAGAGATGAGGGCTGAGAGTGTGGACAGAAGGAGAAACAGATGGAAATAGAGAAAAACAGAAGAAAGCAAAGCGAAAGAAAGGGAAGTAGTAAAGGACATCGAAAGAGAAGGACAGGAAAAGAGAAATAAGCAATGAAAGCGAAAAGGAGACGGAGAAGAGAAAAAAAGGAGTCAGTATGAAAGACAAGGAGCGGAAGCAGAAGCTGGGAGTGAGAAAGTGGCAGGAAAACTGAGACGGAACAGAGAGTGAAGGAGGGAGAGAGAAAGAGAGTGTGACAGGAAGAGGAAAGCATAGAGAGGGAATGAGAGGGTGACAGAAAAGGGAGAGAGAGGAAGAGAGAGGGGAGGAAGCCTAAAACGAGAAAAAAAAGCGAAAGAGACAAGGAAAGAAAGAGTGAGGCAGGAAAAGAGAGAGAATGGAAACGAGATAGAAGCAGGTAAAGTCAGAGGGTGGAAATTAGAGGGGGAGGAGTCAGTTAAAGAGAATATCAGACAAAGAGAGAGAAAGTCAAATTTGCTGAAATGGATTTTAAAAGTAAATAAATTAAAAAATAATCGAAAAATAAATTGCAATTCAATGAGGATGAGAGGTAAAGAGGTGGCAGAAGAGAAAGAGATACAGAGAGAGAAGAAGGGGGAGAAAACCTTGAGAGGTAAAATGGGGGGGGCGAGAAGAAGAATACATTTCTTATAAGTTGAAGCATATATACGTATATGGATATGTATATATGTGGGTATGTACATGTATATGTGGATCTCTGGATGTGTCCGTGTGCATGTGTGTGTGTGTGTGTTTGTGTGTGTGTGTGTGTGTGAAAGAGAGAGAGAGAGAGAAAGAAAGAAAGAAAACAATGGATGAGAAAAGATAACGAGGCAAAACTGAGAAGACACTTGATAGGGAATAAAATAACACAAAACGGAAAGAAAAGAATGAAAGTAAAACATTTAAAAAAAAGGTAAAAAAATCGAGGGAAAAAATCGTACTAAGAAAGAAAGAAAGAAAGAAAGAAAGAAAGAATAAAAAGCTAAAAAGGGAGAAGAATCGAGGAAGATAATCGTACTAAAAAAGAAAGAAAAAAAGACGGATAAAAAAAGAAAGAAAAAAGAAAGAAAGACAGATAAAGAAAGAAAGAAAGAAAGAAAGAAAGAAAGAAAGAAAGAAAGAAAGGAAAAACAAACAAACAAACACATAAACAGACTGATAAAGAAAAAGAAAGAAAGATAAAAGAAAGAAAGACAGATAAAAAAATGAAAATAAGAAAAAAGAAATAAAGAAAAGATAAGAAAGAAAGAAAGGTAAAGAAAAGAAAAAAGATATACAGAAAAAAGAAAGAAAGAAAGAAAGAATGAAAAGATAAGAAAGAAACAAAAAGTTAGAAACAAAAAAATATGCGCGTAGAAGTAAAGGAAGAAAGAAAACAAACAAATCAAAAACAAAGAAAAAGACAGATATAAGGATAAACAGAACAAAAGAAAAAATGTAAAAATGAATGAATGAAAAATATGGAAGACGATAGAAATAGAACGGGAAAATTGTTAGAATTTGCTAAATATAAAAGCTGGAAACGATTGGCATGTTTTGTTGTGAAGTCTGTCATTGTTAATCACGATTGACGCCATTCGAAGATTGCCAACAGACGCGCGAAATTTATTATTATTATTATTTGCTATTCCTTGTGTAATGAAAGCGAATCCTTTCCAAAAAGAAAGACTCATTTGCAAGGAAATTTCACTCATTTACATTTAATAAGGAACATAAAAATATAAAACAGGATTTAAGAAAATTAATAATTATTTTAAATTGATTAAAAATGAAATGATTCAGAATTAATTAATTCAAAATTATAAGTAACTCCTTAAGCACAATTTGATTTGTTTTTAGGTTCGTAGGCTTAATAAGAACAATAGGTTTCCCCAGAAAATAAATAAATATCGCACTAAAACAGGTAATAGTAATCCCAATGAGTGGACGGCATAGTGAAGACAAGGCGCGTATTTCAGAAAGTGGGACGCTTCTTAATCTTATTTGGCACTGAATATATTAAGTATGCACACACACACACCCCCACACACACACACACATACACATACACATACACACACACACACACATACACATACACATACACACACACACACACGCATACATACACACACAAATGCGTAATAAAAGCGCTCCATGTAAAATAGCAGAGCTATAATTTATAGTATTAATAATACATATACCTTTTTCACCTCACCGTTAGGTACGACCCTGAGTTTCATGAAGGCAGCAATCTTCAGGTGCTGATTTGTCCATTATCTGGGATAAAGCGTATATAGATATAAACAGCTGACATAGAATTCCGCACTGTTGATATCTATGTCAACACTGTTTCTAGCTACCTTTCATTTTTTAATCATTCCACCTCAAGCAAGGCGATAATGTCACTAAGACGCAACGGGTCTTATTTCATTTATTTTACTTTTTCGTCAGTAATTCTCATTGTCGTCCACTCCCAGTGATCCGATGTGTCTTAGTGACATTATCGCCTTGTTTGAGGAGTGTTTAAAGTCTGTTTCAGTGAAATGGAAACAACTGTCAAATTCAAATCTTTTCATTTTTTTTTTTTGTGATGTCAGCGAACATTCGTTGCCATTTTTATAATACCAACGAATACTTGTTGTCACTTTCGTAATGCTCGTTGTAGTAGAGACTTTGTAACTATAGTACACCGTTGAAAAATGCTAGTGTCAAACGCCTTCGAATAACACTCGTACTTATTCTATTCGAATACTGATTTTCAAGGCATTAAGTTCACACACGCACACACACACACACGCACATATATATATATATATACACTACAGTTCAAAAGTTTGAGGACACCTCTGGTAATTTTTTAAATTGGCCCAAAAAATGGATGTTTTGTACTTTAAATAAGAGAAAATTATTATACATGGTTTAAAAAAAAGTGAATATGATCTTTTATTAAAAAATGTTATTATGACAAAAAGAAAAAAAAATTATGATTAAATTTTACTCTCTTCAAAATATTCTTCTTTGCCTTGACTGCAGCAAAAAGAATTATGGCATTTTTTGCAAAAGTTACTCAAAGTATAAGTTTGATAATTGTTTCCATTCTTTTTTTTTAATGACTCTAAGAGCTCTTTTACAATTTTATTGTCACTCTTCTGACAAGTTCATCCCATGCTAATTCTGGGAGCGGCTTCAAACTTTTGAACTAGAGTATACCTGTGCTTTTGCTAATAATTTTTTTTCAAATAACTCGATTTTACGTATTTAAACGCAGTACTGGATTGGCAGCTAGGTCTCATGATTTTATAGTTGGAATTGCTAGATATAATCGTAAGTTCTATGCTAACAGATTCTTCTCTCGTAATTATCGTTTGTGGAACTCTCTTAAGGCAGCTGGCTACCCAGTTAACTTTGATCTTCAAAAATTTAAATGCAATGTTACTCGTTATCTTTAGTCTTCTTAATTCCTCTTCTTTTATTGTTTTTTTTTTCTTTAATAGCGTCTTTTACTCATATTCTGTAACACACAATATCCCCTTGCGTCGTCACGTTTTTATTGCCTTGCTTGGAGTGGAATGATTTTTAAAAATAATTAAAAATGGATTCCTTCCGAGAATACAAATTCAATAAAATGTTGACGATGTCTTGAACAATTTGTAGACCATTTAATAAATCGACACTCTTGTGATCAAAATGCTTAATGTGACATCCATTAAAGAGAGACTTCCACTCTGTAAGATGCCAATACAAGTTTCCTCAGAAATTAGTCTTCATTTTTCATTTCATGCTGTTTACTCCAACATTCAAGAAGTGTATAGACCTACTGTGCTGTGATACAATTGTGAAAATAATACTAGTAAGTAAAATCAGTATTAATATAATAAAAGGGTGGAATGAATCCTGTAAATACGAAATATGTACGACTGATACGTCGTTATGTTCAAATTGGCAATATATGTGTGCATTGGGAAGATGTCAGATGCAGACAAAACATTCGTGTCAATGTCGAGGCTTGTGCATCAAATAGTTTAGAACATTAAATTGCTTCACTGCTTGCAAAGTAATTCAAATATATGTCATTCACAACAAAACGCATCACAT